CAAATTGATTTGAAATTCAAAATTCAGAAGACTATATTCGTTCTATTCTACTCTATTCTATTTCCTTTTTGTTTTCTACGCTGTTCTTTTATTCTCTAATGTATTACTTTCTATTCTATTCTTTTATTTTCTGTTCTAATCTATTTTGTTCTATTCTATTCCTTTCTATTCTATTTTATTTTTTTTTTAATCTATTCTGTTTTAGTCAATTCTATTTTATTCTATTATTTTTTTTTGTGTGTGTTCTAGGACAGGGGTCTCCAAACTTTCTAAAAAAAGGGCCAGTTTATTGTCTACAGACCATAGGAGGGCTGGACTGTGGACGGTGGGAGTACAAAATGTTGCCGGCTTGGTGGCCAGTGAAAGTAAAGAATAAAACAGTGCCTGTGGTCAATAGGAGGAGGAATAGTGCCCCATCATTGGTATCAGTGGGATGAATAGTGTCCCATAATTGGTATTAGTAGGCGGAATAGTGTCCCATTGTTGTCACTTGCCAGAGTAGTGTCCCATTGTTGTTGTCAATGGCCAGAGTAGTGTCCCATCATTAGTATCAGTGGAAGAAATATTGTCCCATCTTTGGCGTCAATGGTAGGGATAGTGCCTAATTGTTGGTGTCAGTAGAAGGAATAGTTCCCCATTGCTGGTGTCAGTGGGAAGAAGGCGGGTAAAGGGCCGCATCCAGCCCACGGGCTGCAGTTTGGAGACCACTGTTCTTGGAAAATGGATGAGTTTTTCCTTTTAGAGACCAGAAAACCCATGTCATGCCTGTCATTTTCCTCAATGTTCTCTCAAGATATTTTGCTTCAATCAATATTTTTTTTTATTTAGCTACGTGCCAAGAGAGCTTATGTTGCAGCTTTCCAGATCAGCTTATCCTCAGCACTGCATTGGAGGCCGTACATGCCATGGCAAAGACACAAAGCCTGTCTGCAATGTCACCTTCAGACCATTGCAGTAGGCTCTGCTTGTGGTGTTCTCCAGACACTAAAGGGTTGATTTACTAAAGGCAAATGAAAAGTTCACTTTGCAAGTGCAGTTGAATTTTCCTCAGAGCTTAGTGAATGAGGTGAAGTTCTGCTGATTTCCATTATCCAATCATGAAGAAATCAGATGATCATCAGCAGTTATCAGAAAAAAACACGCTTTTTTTAATAATTTTTTTTTTTTTTTTTGGGCATGATGGGATATTCTTTGCAAAGTTCTACTACATTCACTAAGCAATAAGGAAAATTCTCTTGCAGAGGGCAACTTTACTTGCAAAGTGAACATTGTATTTCCTTTATGAAATCATCCCCTGTATGTCTGTTAATGACATGTTATTTAGCTGCAGAGTGCTCAACAGGTCTAGTGCCAATACACCTGCTGTTTTACTCTTGTTCCTGAAGACTCCTTTGGTATTATGCTCATCTGTGAGCTGAAGACTATCTGGAGTTTAACATTTTCACTGGGTCCTGTACTAGCATTCTCCAGTACCTTGTTGCTGTGTTTACTTGGCAGAGGGCACTTTCAAAGCCAAGTATTAGTGGTTTGCCTTTTTTTTGTGAAGCCCGGCCTTTGTTATATATAGGTAACACTCTGCAGATTTTGCTTCAACAAATTGGGGTTTATTTACTAAAGCTGGAGAGTGCAAAATCAGGCTTATTTCTGCAAAGAAACCAATCAGCTAATAGGTATTATTGCCAAAGCTTGATTGAGAAAGCTGATGCTAGAAGCTGATTTGGTTTCTATGCAGAGGTGAGCCTGATTTTGCACTCTCCAGCTTTAGTAAATAAACCCATTGTGTCACAAGCAGTCTATGGAACTGGCGCTGCAACACAGTTGTGTCACATGCGCTTTGGCCTGTGTTGCTCTGTCTCCTACCACATTCCCTAGAGGGTGAACACTCAGGAGCCTGTGCTCCAATACATTGTATGTGTCACAAGCACTATAAGGAGCAGTGCTACACCTGTGCTTGCATGCACCTTAGGTCCTAGTGCTACACCATTCTCATCTTGTCCTGAGCACTCACAGTCCTTCCTTTTCCTGCCTCCAGAGTGTGGTGATTCAACACTGGCTCCTTGCAAGGATTTAGGGTCAGTCCTCCCTGCCGCTGCCTCACAATGAGTTAGTCACAGACAGTCGCATATAACTTCTCCTGTTTCAAAAGCTGATTTGTGAGAACCCTTTGCTGAAATTTTCACACACAGCAGTATTGTGGATCATAAACGTAAGGGAAGCTGTCCTGCAGCCTTTTCCAGCTTACTAACAACTCCGGGTTGCATTGTCCTTCCTGAAGGACCTAACTCTGACAGCCTGGACTGTTGTCCCCTGCTGCAGTCTTCAAGTTTCTCAGGTTGTCTATACAATTAGGCATGGCTCCCTTCTCTGCCTTATCTAGAGCTGAATTTTCTGCGATTATGTCAGATTTTATAACTAAAATCACTGCCTTGATACCTGACTCAGAACACAGGTGCTACAATCATAATTCTGCACCTTCTCCTCCAGAGTCTTTGATATGCTTAAGGCTGCTTATGCAACTTATCCTTTTTAAATTATTTTGTGCCCAAAGAGATTCAGTCTGTTGACATAACTCCTAGGCTTGGATTTGGAGTAACGTGCATCTGAATTCTCTAATGTTACCAGGCTGGACTTCCTTAAAAGTTTCCAACCTGTCGAAAAAATCTCCCAATAAATTCATTACTGCATCTTATATTTTATGCTGACATATCAACTCCTGACAAGCAGTTTTTGCTCCCATCTCATGTCTTGGTCCATTTCCTAAACCTGTTAGTTATGGGCAAAGGATATTACTAATACACCTGAGTCTTTCCTAACTGATCCTTCAGATTTTAAACAATTAGAACTCAGTTGCGTACACTGCTGTGTTTATGAGCTTTTGCATGTCGTACGTCTCATATGCAGAATGAGTCCTCTATCTGTGCATGTGCCGAGAACTGTTTGCCTAAAACATTGGTTTTTCAGAATGACAGTGCACAAACCTCTTACTGAGTATGCCTTTGATGGAGAATGTCTCTTCAAAGCTTCACTGGCCAGCTTTATTTAGGGATGTTAGAGGAAGAAATAGAATCATTTTACCTCTACAAAAGAAACCTAAGCCAAGAAAACCTCCTCCTTCTGAGGCTAAGAAGAATTCCTTTTGTTTCTTCTAGACCTCAAAAGTCAAGACCTGGACTCGATTCAATCACAAGCCTTGGACTCCCAAACCCTTCAAACATGCAAGCAAGTCTTCCTCAAAATGGGGTACAACTGAGTTTTGCTGTGGGCACACAACTCTACCAGGTATTTGTCCTTCACCAAGGTGCTAGCCCCTGTGCTTGCTCTGCTGCGTTCCCAGGACAGTCCTATTGTGGGAGATATGGACAACTAGAGAACAGTTAGCTCAGACCCTGTAAGTCATTGTCCAAATTACTGTTCAGCTTCTACAAAGGTTCGGTTGAATCCTAACCTTCAGAAGTCAGCACTGGATCTGACTTATTCCTTGGAGTATCCAGGTCTCTTTCTAGATACTGCTCAGTTCATGGTTTTTCTCCCACAAGACAATCTCTTGAATCTTCGCTCCTATGTTTGCACTCTGTAGTCCAGGAACCGTCCAACTGTTTGCTTTTTATAAGAGTTGTAGGCTTGATATAACCCACTTTGAGATAATCCCATATGTCCTATTCTACTCCAGACCTTTGCTACTCAACATTCTGGCAACACAGGGCAAACAAGTACAGTCTCCAATTTCACTAGTTCACCTGAAACCCAGGACTAGGTTTGTAGTTAAGCCTTGGCCTGATAGCTCACAAATTAAGCCCTTGAGTTGGGGAAATCCTTCTGTTGGTCTGCAAGATTCTCATGAGGAATGCTGGACCTCTTCACTGCAAAGTCATCCCATACGGGTTCAGGCGGAAAATGCCACAGCAGTGATCCCACTAGTGAAGGGGAGGTCCCCCCTAAAATGCGTTCTTGCATCATCTGTGGTTTCATAACTGGGGGCGGAACACTGACTATTGACGTCTGGACTGTGCTTTCCCTTTGGCACTGAAGGTTGTTTTCTTTCTCTCCACCAAAGTCTGTCTTGTGAGTACCACCTCTGACCAGGGTAGTGAGCTTCTCCAGTTACTGATGATTCTGGATTTTTGCTGTTCTGCCAAATTTATCCCCATGTTTGTTAGTGCATATCTTTTATTGCTTTTAACATTAAATTCAATGTATTAATTACTACACTACCAGCCTCCTGTGCTCTTCTTTTGTGTTTGTCTCTTACCCCAGAAGTTGTCCTTGCTTATTGTTATCACTTCTGCAAGGTGGGTCTCTTGGGTTGGCAGCTTTCTCTTGTAGAGAACACTTCCTTTCTTGAATACCTTTTTTAGATGGTATAAAATATGTGTCATCTTGCATGTCTTCCCAGCACTTTTTTCCTTTGGAAAATGTAATAAAATACTTTTTTTTTTCTATAAAATGTTTTTAAGATTTATTTTATGACATCATGCAAAGCTGTTTTAGCATCCCGATGTGTGTGTGGTTTGAGACAGCTTGGACCATTTGGCCATGTATTAAATTCCCTATTTTCCATTAATGATTTTCTGCTAATGGTTATTTTAACATTCATTTATATTTTGCAGGCTATAAAGATCAAGCTTGTTAGACTTTTTTTTCAAGTAACTAGTAGTTCTAATAAGCATATTATAAAATGAGCTAAAGTGTGCTTTATGAATTTCAGATGTTGCAGAAAGTTTGGGGAGTTGAAATGAGTGTACATTTATTTTTATCTTATTTCCTTTCATTTCTCCCTGTATCAGACTGACCTGGATCAATATAAAAAGGCACTTGAGGATGCAGGATGCAATTTGGCACCTTTAAGCTATATTAAACAGTGGAAGTAAGTTGTACAATTATTTTATACATTAGGTAGTTACCACTAAGAGCATGATCAAGGTACTGCAGTTTGTAATGTTATTGTAATATGGTCCTTTAAGTTTTTTTTTTTGTTTTTTTAATTCAGAGCATTTGCAAAGATGGCATCTGCACCAGCAAGCTATGGGCTTTCTGCAACTAAATCTAAAGGGTACGAGATGTATTTGTATTGTTAATGTGCTTTTTACAGGTCCTAGCTTTCATTATTTGTAATAACATTTTATAGGGGTAAAAGGGTAGTAAGTGAAAAATGAACAGAGATTGTATACAATCAATGGCAAAGTCATTTAACACCTTTCTTGAAAATACGATGATAATATATTGCTTAGTAACAGTATTATAGGAATTCAGTTTACCATTTTTTCTTTCCTTATTTAACAGCAAGTGCAAGACAATGCATTGTGTCCGTCTGTTCTATATTGACAGCCCTTAACCTGTTCCGGACTGCCTCCTGTAGCTTTACTGCTACAGTGTAGCCCTGCTGCACTGGATCTCATACATATATATATACGTATATACACATCGCTTAGTAAAAGTACACACTTTACACTTTTTAGGCACACAGTTAACCCTTTTCATTGCCCCTAGATTTTAACCACTTCTGTGCAAGTGTCATTAGTACAGTGACAGTGTATACTATGATCACTGTTTTAGTGTAACTGGTGATGCCAGTGTCAGTCACTTCCCACAAAGTGTCAAGTTAGTGTCAGATTGCCCACCACATAAGTCATGATCACCGCCATTACTAGTATAAAATAAATAAATAAAAATTCCAGTATATACCATAATTTTTAGACACTATAACTTTCACACAAACCAATTAATAATATGCCTACTGGGAGTTGTTTTTACTAAAGACATGTAGCAGATTACATTTTGGCCTAAATTTATGACATTTGATGTTTTACATTTTTTTATTGGATGTTTTATAGCAGACAGTAAAAATATAGTGTTTTTTTCAAAATGTTTGGGTTTTTTGTTTATATAATAAAATAAAAATTCAAAACCCAGTGGTGATCAAATACCACCAAAAGAAAGCTCTATTTGTGATTCAAAAATTCATTTGGGTACAGTGTTGCATGACTGAGCAATTACCAGTTAAAAGTAGCTCAGTGCCAAATAGCAAAAAATAGCCTGGTCGTGAATGGGGTAAAATCTTCCAGAGCTTAGGCGGTTAAAGGACAACTTCAATTGATATAACACATATAATTGCTATAGAAATCAATTTTTAAAATAAGTTTATGACAAAAAAACTTTCTATTTTAGTTTGCAACCATCTAATTTTCTAAAACTGCCTAAAAATGAAAATGTTTCACCTTTGTAACAATGGCAATGCTGTGTGTACAGAATGCCCTCAGAGTTGTGTCAAATAACTGCATCACATTAAAGTCTGTGGTTGTTTTTTTTATTTAGTTTTTTTTTTTTTTAAATCCTTTGCATTGTGTAGAGTGGATTGTTTTCACTCCACAAAAGTTGGATTATAATTTACCAGTCCTCAAGCTTGTGGTGGTGATATACACCAAAATGATCACATATATATTTCATAAGGCCACTCACCATTTTTGCATTTTTCATATCATTATGCTAGCCTTTTACTACTCTATAGAACTAGGAGCAAGAATAGTCATTTGGGTGCAGGATATTGTGAATTCTCAAACCTTTGCCACATATTTCCACCCTAGAATTAGCAGGGTGCCTTAAACAGGGTTCTCCAGAAGCCTTCACAAAGTCATTCACTGTATTGGGTTTTTCAGATCTCTATTACGGGGCTGGCAGCATCCTTGTTTTGATGCACTGGCAGCACCCATTTTGATTTGCCACTGTATTTCCACTAAAACTGCCAACATATTTATGGAAATAAAGATAATATAGGACACAGGGAAAGAGTCATTGGAGCTGTACTTCATAATCACCCTTTTAAGACAAAATATAGATATCTCCACACAACCTGACATCGCTATAGCAAGAATATGTTTTTCCAGTTACATTTTAGATCAGATAGATATAATGGGGAAATTAAAAAGCACAAATGTAAAGTTTTTTTTTCCCTTGCACTTAATATTCTGATACAGTCACTATAGGATGACATACATTTTTTCCTACTAGGGGTATGAATACTAAGCCAATAGCTTTAATTTTTCCACAACTAAAATTTGTTCGTGTTCAAATTTACTCTAAAATACAATAACACACATTGGTGAATTTTCAGTTGCATTTATTTTAAAATAAACATGATCATTTTACTCATTTCTGAGCATGCCTGTGAATGTAATATTGCATAACATTTTACAGCAAATCCTTCTATAGCTAGTTGAAGAATGAGATCTACACAACATAACAAATGCATTTTAGAATAACATGTCAAATATTATATGTGGAAATCCTTCTCATTCATCCTGCCACATTGTTGCCAATGAGCACACTATCAAAAATCACCTGTTGTGACTTTCCAATTTAAACGTAGTAGATTGGCCGAATGATTCTAATGGCTCTCCTACGAATGCTATTGCACAAACTACTAGAAACCAGTATGAACTGCAAGCTGGGTCCACTCTTAAAGTGAAAAACCCCTTTACATTTCTTACAGAGGAGTTGTTGTTCTGCAAGTTATCATAAATAATGTCCTCTCCTCTTGCACCAGTCACCTGTATGTGACCTGTAGCTCTCAAAAAGTAGGCTGCAGTCCTCCTAGTAGTATTGTGACTTTCATATTCCATCCCAATTAGGACAAAGTGTTTCTGTGCCAATCCATGGGAAGCTGGAAAAGCTGCCAAGACTGGCATTTTACAGTTCCCTTCCACCACAGAGGATCTCTTGTCCCTCTGTGCTCCCTCTCCGTCTACTGTCAGACAGATTACATAGACACATCCACAGCCAAAAGCCTTCAAAGCTACACACTGTTTATTCAGGTACAATGATGGTCTTCTCTGCAGCCTGTGCAGGGTGGAGGATCTGGCACAGAGGATGCATCTCTTTATACCCTGCCTTCTTTTTTCTACTTCCAGGCTGCTCTCCAGAGTCATGAATACGGGGTCACAGTTTGTCATGGAGGGGGTGAAAAACTTGGTTTTAAAGCAGCAGGTAAACAGACTATGGAGCAGGCTTTATTTTGACAAGTGTAAACGACAACCTCAACCACCACTGATGAGAGTGTAATTGAGCTGCATGTGCTGAGTGACTGCAGATAGGGTTGAGTGTAGGTTTAGTCCTGTCTTTGGCATGTCATTACACTATGGTGCACCACATATACACAGCTGTGTGGCCATCCAGTCCTGCACAGAGCACACAGCCTGCATTCAGTTCAATGGTAATTGCATTGATACTAATGTTGTCATTCCACTGTTGGATGTTGTAGTGCTGAAACTCTTTGTGTTCCCATCCATCACATCTGCATATGGGTTAATGCAGCTGCCTTCCTATCCTGCCCAGTTCCCCTATCCTGTTTGTTTTGGCTGCTCAAAACAAGAAGCTTTGTGAATATGTTTGGATATTTGATACACGCACTGGGTACAGAACCTTCTGTCACATCTCCCGCTGTGCCCCTAGTAAATGTGTCTGCTCTTCCCAGAACGTCAGCTGCAAGATGTGAATATCTATAGTTAGTAATGTGTGTGTCTATGGAAATTTAAATTACAGCTTCACCATATTGTATTGTTTTACGCCAAACATAATACTACAGACATCAGTCATCAATATAAGATTAAGCGGCTTTAAAAAGCCATGGGACAAAACTAGACTCCCTACATTTCTCTACTACAAGCCAGAAGTTTGAGACTCTTGACAGCAAATACCAGCAGCTTCTGGCTTCTCAGTTGCGATGAAGTTGTAATGCTGGCATGGATGCTTTGACATCTTAATAATAACACTACTAAAGCTACACAAGACTTCACAGCAGTTAATTGCCTAAATATCCCTTGTGTGTGCTTAACTGTTTTACATGCCTAATGACACAAATTGTAATCTAATTCAAATAGAGTGCACTACGATGCAAGCCATACATTGTTGGGACCCTCTTTGGGTGGAAGTAACGTCATCTTAAAATGAAGCTGTGTTTTATCCATGCAGGACAAAGCAGCAAATCTACTTAATGTCCTTAGAAACACATGCTGTAATTACCTTCCTTGCACTCCTTTGTATATTTATTATTTTTTTTTAATATAACAATTTTATCATTTTAATATTTTTTTTCATAAAGATATATAACTCCAGCAAGAACTTTTTTAGATAGAATCAGAGGGATTACAATTGGATTTTTATTGGTCTTTGTGCTCCTATCAAGGAGATCCCCCGAACTTCCTGTCCCAGAGATACAACAGTATGTAAGAGGAATTGCCTGCAAAGTGAGGGAACCAGATTGCATGATTTACCCTGCTACTCCTGTTCCAATGCTCCATTGCTGCTCAGCAGCTGTTGTCAAGTTATTACTCCATGTGGAGTGTTTAATACTGGTTGTATTATAGATCTGTGAAGTCACTGTTTTCTCTGAGTCTATACAAGTTTTATCTGATGAAAGAGGAGTTGTGTTGCCCCGAAAAAGTGTTGGTTGTTTTTATATGACTTTTTTTTTTTTACCATCAATTAATATGATCTTGGACTTATTTATCTGGCTTTGGTCTGATGCTCCTTTCTGTATTTTAATGGTTTAAGCTACTGTTGGGTGCTCATCTAGGGAAGTCTTGCTGTGTGGGAGATAATAGCCAGAGCTATTAAGCTCGTTTGAAGTTTTCCTTCATCTCACAACACAAGCAAGTCCAAAAGTTCGCCTTTTGTCCTTCTGGACTCCTGTACCAGTCACACCTGTACTTTCTCAGTGACCGTGATCTCTGGGACAAATAGTGGGGTTAGGACTCCTCAGCTAGGACACAGGTATCATTAAAGACCTGACTGGGAGGTGATATAACCTTTCCCCACTCTATACAACACTAGAAAAATTTCTGAGATTTACTTTAGCTGATGTATTCACATATATACTATAGTTTTCCTTTAAAGCATTGTGGTTACATCTGTTAGTGACAAATGTTTCTATATATTTATTGTGCCCCAATTCATACCTGTCAGTCTTTGTCTTTGTAGAACCTGCCAGTCACACGAGTTCTTGATAGCCTAATGGAGGTGAAATCAAACCCGGTAAGTAACAGTCAGACTTACAGTATTGGTCAAATAGTATCTTGGCCTTTCCTGTTTATAACCTTCAGTTACAGAAATTCACCAGACACTAAAATAATAAAGCAAGAAGTACTCTGGAGAACAGGTTATAATTTACTTTGTAAAATCTGAGGTGTTTCGTGATAATTATAACCTCAAAGTAGGCATATAATGTTTGCAGCTGTTTTACCAGCCTTAGGCCTATGTTATTACCTCCCATTTCCAAGCATCATAAATATATTGAAGTGCTTCGGGATCACTCTGTTCCTACCAGTTGTTTTTATTTTCCTTCTTGTATATTTGTGTTTTTGTTATTGGTGGTTTTATTTTATTTGCTCCCAGCTGCAAGAAAAAAAGGAATTAGAAAAAATGTGTTTTGGAAAGAACTCTGGCCCCAACCAGACACCCTCCTTAAAGCTGCTTCTATTGCCAGGAGCTCGTAAACTGATGGCTCTGGGGACCATGTGTTTGTATACAAAGCTTGATCTCCATGTACTTGTCTAGCCTACATCCAGAGGCAGCTTGAGCCAGACTTTGTGTTTGATCAATTTCTACTTATACTTAAACCTAATAGTATTTCATATTAAAATTAAAGTTTGAAAGTAGTTCTTTACAAAGCAGACACCTTTTGTAAAAGGATCTGAAGGGCAGTATGTGAAAATATGTACAGTATGCTGGAGACAAGTGAACTGTGAAAATAATATTTTTGTTGCATCCTGTCCTGTCTGGCTGTAGCTTTCTATTGTGCCTTGTTCACCACTCTACTATTATTTATTTTCCATATGTGCCATTAGAGCAACCCAAAACTTTTTTAAGGTTGAAGTGATCAAAATTCTGATTTTAAATACCTGTAGAGAAAAAAAGCTAATGTTTAAAAATGTTGCAAGCATGCTATACGACGGGTGCTTCCATTAATGTGATGTTTGAACTGTTTACAAGGTGCGCACTTTTAGGACCAAATATTGTTATCAGTATTTACAGAATGCACCCTTCTATAGATGTTTATTTTTGTTCATTTATATGGTCTTTATTGTAACCGCAATATACATGGAACAAATTATGTATTTTGTTGGAAAACTTTATTATAAGATTGAAATTTAAAAATGTTGCAACCGAAACGAAAGTACAACTGAAGGAAAAACCTTTTTTTAATTTTGCATAGAGTGTAGAGAGAATAGAACATTTATCAAATGTCTTTTGCTGTCTGTGTCCCCATTAGTAAAATTCTCCCTCTCTACCTGTCCTGTTTACCATTATCATTGAAAGTGAAAGTAAAAGAAAATCCCAAATCTTGGGTTGCCCCCAGAAAAGTAATAGAAGGGAAATCTTCCAATGTGGACAGTAGTTCTGGTGATCTGGGGGTCCCCAAAGGATTCTCTCAATTTGTAGGGATGTCCTCTCACTTCCTGTTTTGGCTGTGGGACAGGAAGTGAAGGGAAATCTCCCAAATGGGACATAGATGGCAACAAATAAATTGACATGGGCTATGACCCTCCCTTCCCTATCCAAAATGAAAAAAAAAAGCTTGCCTATAGTTCTACTTTTATGTAATTCTAAAGGGCTTAAAAAAAAAGTATATACTTACCTGCTGTGTGCAGTTGTTTTGCTCAGATCAGTCTGGATCCTCCTCTTCTCCGGTCCCTTACCTGCGCTCCTGGCCCCTCCCTCCTGTCGGGTGCCCCCCACAGCAAGCAGCTTGCATGCTCACTCCCCACCGCTGCTCCGTGTGTCCATTCACACATAGAGCCGCAGCTCAGCCCCACCCCCTCTTTCTGCTCATTGGCTTACTGGCTGTGATTGACAGCAACAGAAGCCAATGGCTCCCGCTGATGTCTCAGCAAATGAGGAGAGGGAGGCCTGGGATAGCCGAGACTCCAGTGCACATCGTTTGATTGAGAGGGGGCTTAGGTGAGTATTGGGGGGGGGGGGGGGCTGGGGAGGATGCTGCACAGAAAAGGTTTTTTATAGAATGCATGAAGGTGAAAAACCTTGCACCTTTACAACCAATTTAAACATTTGAATTATATGTACCATTTACCTCAAATCAAATGCATATATAAAGTGAAACTGCCCCCTTATAGTGACGTACAATCAAGTGAAAAACAGAAAAAAGGATATAGAGGTGCTATCGCAATGAAACATAAATAATATCAATTTCATTAATCTATTAAAAACTCCAAATGCGGTCCAACGTAACACTGTGCATTAAAATCTCCCATGTCTCTCTATTGTCAGATCTTTTAACAGTGCCACCTCAGTTCGCCACCTCTATGAAAAGTGCACACTCACTGACACTCCAGTGACCTCTGTTTTACTAAAGGTCAGAAAGCTTTGTGGGTTAAGTTGCGTCCTCCAAATGGATATTGCCCATCTGCAGTGCTCAGCATAAATGAGTACAACCCTTTTGAAAAAGTAAGATTTTAATCAATATCTCAATGAACACAAGAACAATTTCCCAAAAATTTTTACAAAACTGAGTTTTTATAGAACATTTGTTTAGCTCATTACATGAAAGTAAGCTTTATAATTATAACTTAGATTACAAAATTTTCAGTTTTACTCAAATTGGTTGATGCAAATATGAATACACCCCACAACAAAACTTACTACATCTAGTATTTTGTATGACCTCCATGATTTGTAAGGACAGCACCAAGTCTTCTAGACATGGAATGAACAAGTTGGTGACATATTGCAAAATCTACCTTTTTCCATCCTTCAAGAACATCCTCTTTCAGAGCCTGGTTGCTGGATAGAGAGTGATGCTCAGCTTGTCTCTTCAGAATTCCCCATAGCAGTTTGGGTTCAGATCAGGAGACATACTTGGCCACTGAATCATTTTCACCTTGTTCTTCTCCAGAAATTCAACAGTGGCCTTAGATATGCGTTTTGGATCATTGTCATGTTGGAAAAGTGCATGACGACCAAGGGCACAGACGGTAGCATCTTCTCTTTCAATTTAGCAGTACATCTGTGAATTCGTGATGCCATCAATGAAATGCAGCTTCCCGACACCATAGCATTCATGCAGCCCCACAGAAGGGCACTGATACCACCATGTTTCACTGTTGGCACCATGCATTTGTCTTTGTACCCTTCACCTTTGTGACGCCGTTCAGTTTTGAAGCCATCGGTTCACAAAACATTTATCTTGGTCTCATCACTTCAAAGTACAGAGTCCCAGTAGTCTTCTTTTTCAGCAGGAACCCTGGAAAATTCTAGGCGGGGGCTTTTTTGTGCATGGGCTTTAGATGAGGCTTCCTTTGTGAATGACACCCATGCATGCCATTCCTCTGCAGTGTACTCCATATTATGTCATGGGAAACAATCTCCCCAGTTTGGCTTTCTACTTTTGCTAACTGCAGTGAACTTGCATGACAATTTTCTTCAACCCTTCTCATCAGAAGACACTTCTGTGGAGGTGTTAACCTCCGTGAACAGCCTGTACGTCTCTGTGAGATGGTTGCAGTCCCATCTTTGTTAAATTTTTGTAAAGCTTTACTGATCTTCTTGTAGCTTTCACCTTTCTTGTGTATAGAAATGATTTTCTTTCCCAGGCCTTGTGACATTTCTCTTCCATGTGGTGCCATTGCTGACAGCATGAAATATGAAGGGGTTTTCTTTGTTAAGTAACGCCTTTCTATAATCAACTGTCTGCTGGACACCTGTTTAATGAAAAAATTAGACTTTTCCTGTAGTTGAATTCTTGTTAATTAGGATTTTTTTCTAAAATGTCGCTTTGCTCCTAAGACTTTCATTGGGTTGTATTCATTTTTGCAACATGGTCTTGAATGAATTTGTTAGGAAAAAAACTTTTTTGTGTGTGCAAATTGACAAATCTTGTTTGCAATCAGTGGTCCGCATTTGTGGGAGTATTTTGTAGTATAGTGTCCAATAGAAAATGTTGATTCCTAGAGGAAAGTTTTCTGGCAAAATCTGTTGGGGTGTACTAATTTATGCTGAGCACTGTATTTTACTTTCTCCGTAGTCTCCTTTCTTTCTGATATGTCCCTCCAGAAAATAACCATGCAATCAAGCCAAAGTAAATAAGACTATCGTGTAGTATTGTATTTGTTTAAAAAGGTTTATTAACGTATAAAGCTATTGCACTCTTGAAATTGTGCCCAAGATCGGCACTGATATACACTGCCTGTATTACCATGATACCCCTTGAGGTCAGCGTGCGTTCCATGACCGGAAAACTCAGGTGGCTTCTTAAGGACAACATGGTCAGCGAAAATAGTTGAGGCCCTAATACTGTAGAGTCATCACATCCAGTTCCTGTGAAGTCACATCCGGCCTGCTTGGTGGAACGCATGCTGATCCCAAGGGGGATCGTGGTAATACAGACTGTTTTACATCAGTGCCAATCTTGGGCACAATTTCATGTGAGTGCAGTAGCTTTATACCTTTATATACCTTTTTAAACAAATACAATACTACACGATAGTCTTCTTTTTCCTTTGGCTTGATGGCATGGTTATTTTCTGGAGGGACATATCAGAAAGAAAGGAGACTAAGGAGGAGGAAGTAAAATAGATTGGCAATATCCATTTGGAGGATACTATATTATGAACCTTACTTTCATGTAATGAGCTAAACAAATGTATAAAACTCAGTTTTGTCCAAATTTTGGAAATTGTTCTTGTGTTCATTGAGATATTGATTAAAATCTTACTTTTTCAAAAGGGGTGTACTCATTTATGCTGAGCACTGCAGATGGGCAATATCCATTTGGAGGATACAACTTAACCTGCAGAGCTTTCTGACCTTTAGTAAAATAGAGGTCACTGGAGTGTCAGTGAGTGTGCACTTTTCATAGAGGTGGCGGAACTGAGGTGGCACTGTTATAAGATCTGACAATAGAGACATGGGAGATTTTAATGCACAGTGTTACGTTGGACTTTATGTAGTCTTTAATACATTAATGAAATTGGTGATATTATTTATGTTTCAAAGGTTCCAAAAGTAATATAGTAAATATTGTATGGGGACATTCACACCACATGCATCGGGACTGCGTTGATGGATTTTTTCAGTGCAGTCCCACTTCATGAAATTGGTGCATCAGCACTGTGCTGATCCAGCCAGGTCAGGCCACACTGAACACCAGCTGCTGCATTGTAACTCAGTAGCTGATGTGAACATATCCCAATATTGGTGAACAGCAACTGGAAAAGGGTCATCAATAATGAAGTGCTACTGTTAGACCTCATGCATACTAGGCATTTGCTTTATTTCTCTGAACTCCTGGCAGGTAAAAAGCTTAAAAAAAAAAAAGTGCCTAAAGCCGCATATTGCACACGCATTAGATTATCCAAGCATTTGAGTGTTAATGTATTCCGTTGGCCAGAATATTTATTTCTACAAAATAGACTGGGTGGTCTCCTGGTGTGCGCTTCCATGTTCTTTTGATAGATGGTAATAGCAGAAACGGTTCTTATTTAGACAGATCATGATATAGCTAGTAGTGGGTTGACTGTTAACTACTAGTACCTCTGTGTATTCGTTTTTTGAATGTACTCATGTAGATTTTTTCATCCTACAGGAAACAGATGACTACAGATATTTCGATCCCAAGATGTTGCGTGGAAATGACAGGTGACACTTGCAAGCCTGCATATGTTTGTATAATAATTTACTATTTGGACACTAAGGTTCGTTTACAGGTGCTTCCAAGCGCACATGTGCTTTTGTTTTTGCACATTCCAGCAGTTTTCTGCAAATACGATTGCACTAATAGCTTATTTTAGATGCAGTATAGAGAAGTGTTTTATGTAGGAACTGTGATAGAAATTAAACAGTAATACACTTTTGTTGAGAAAAAACAATCCTCTCTGGGTGAATGTACATTGGAGCGATTTTAACAAACTGTTTTGCAGATTCCTACCTTTTGTTATCCACACCAAGCATTTTCTGTCACTTTTTTTTTTTAATTTTTTCCTAGAAAATTACTTAAAACCCACAAACATTATATATATTTTTTTAGCAAAGACCCTAGAGAATGAAATGTCGAACGTTGCAAATTTTTATGTCCCATGGTATTTGTGCAGCAGTTTTTTTTTTAAACACAATTTTTTAGAAAAAAAATACACTTTAATAAAAAAAAAACAATATAGATACCCAAATTTTTTGTAAATATTAAAGATGATGTTACAGCGAGTAAATAGATACCTAACAAGTCATGCTTTAAAATTGCACATGCTCTTGGAATGGCAACAAGCGAATACCGTTTACATATGCATGCGTGACTTGGGTATTTATTTACTTCTGCATGCAAGCACAGAGGGATGGGGGTGCTTTAAATTTTTTTTTTTTAATTTTTACACTGTCCCTTTTTTTTTTTTTTTTTTCTATCACTTTTATTCCTATTGCAAGAAATGTAAACATCCCTTGTAAAAGAAATGAGGATGACAGGTCCTCTTTAAGGAGATATCTGTGGTCAAAAAGACCACCTTTAAAAGCAAAAGATTAAAAAAAAAAAATGTTTTTTAATCTTTTGCTTTAACCTCTTTACGCCGAGCATCCGCAAACATGCGGCCTGTCAGTGGCTGGGCCTTGACGCCAAGCAGCCACATATTTTTTGTACTATTTGTAAACAAACGTGCTGAGAGCACGCGTGCTCCCAGCACATTTGTTGGCGTCCCATAGAAAGGTCTTGATCTCTCCTTGCGATCAGGACCTTTCCGATCATGCGACTGCCTTGACAGACAATAAACCCCGCTCTGCCTCCCCCGGCTTCAGGAACCCCTTAAAGGGCTGGGAGGCGCCGGCGTGAAGGGGTTAAAAATTGTTTACATCCGGACCGGAAATGACGTCATGATGTCTCTCCGGTCCTTCAAGGCCATAGAGGCGATCAGCAACGATTGAGTCTCTCATCGCCTCTGTGACCAGTCAGCTGCACTGTCAGATTGTTTCTCGGGGAGCGCTGGTTGAGCCCGAGAAACTCCGGCGAAGGGAGCGTCCCCTTCCTTTAGAATCACTTTTAAAGCCAGGATCAAGATGACTGTTACACACCAGGCAGTAAAGCCAGGATTGTGATGATTATAACAGAGCAGGCAGTAAAGCCAGGATCGGGATGACAGTCCAAGAGCCCAAATGTTCAAATCAAGTGAACAATGACAGCTCCCAGATTTCTGCCCTGCCAGGTTCCGTTAAGTGGCATCTAGTCCATGAACCTGAAATATTCTCTTGATTAACACATACCTTTTTGTTTTGTAATAACAGTTCTGTACCAAGGAACAAGAACCCCTTTCAAGAGGTAAGCCAAGTTAAACACCTAAATCTCAATACAAATATCTTAACTGACTGACAACCACATATAGTTCCAAGACAGTTTTGCACATGTTGTACCTACATTTTTTTTGGCAGATTAGTACATCATAGGCCGCAGTGCTTTCTATTCTTGTGTAATTGTTCTTCGTAATTATGTTTCTTAGCTCCTCTTACACTCACACTCTATAAAAATCAGTCCTGTGTCAAGTTCCTGCCAGAATCTAGCTGTAACTAATTTGTATCAATTTCTGAAAAATATCCACACGCTTTACTGAATTCAACAGTAACTGGATAAACTGGAATTTTAGTTGGTTCATGTGTGAAGAATAATCCAACTTTAAACGTTTCTATCATTTATGACATAGCCGTATAGGTGCCTCAGTGTATGATGTTTAAACTTCTCTGATTCTGACTGGGAGGACTACTTCCCGCTTTATAGTGAACCAGCTATTTATACTTTTTATTGAAGTCCTTCCTCAGAGTAGGCTCCACAAAGAACTCATTATTTTTCTGAGCCCCCATCTGATCCCCTTTGAGGTGCTTGGACTAGGACTAAGCCCGGCCCAGCAGTCATCACCCCCTGACCTAGTCCTATGAGAGGAACTCAATGGCATATCAGATCGGGAAGATATTGGGGGGTACAGACATGGCTTTTATTGTTAACAAAAGTAATTGCAATACAGCTAAATGAGTTTAATTTTTACTTTAAATTGGAAATAAATGGGAGCCTTGTTGTGTGTGTGTGCATGCCTTTCCGTGCATTATCAAGACTGATATATACAGCACATGTGCGCTGGTTTAGGGGAACAGACATTTTTCCCAGTTTGGACCTGCCTTGCTGTGACATATTGAGGAGTGAGTACACACAATTCCTATATTTTTTTTTTTATCTTCCATAGTCATAAACCAACGACTAAAGCCCCTGTGAGGGCTGAAACGTGTCACCCTTGTTTGTATATTAAGAGGATGGTAGGACACCCCTTTACGTCTTGATGGAAAATTAATAAAGAAGATTGGATTTTATACTGTGTTGCTGGACCTCCTTCTATGCTATGCTACAGATTGTGTAGCTGTCATCCGGGCACCAGTAATTATTTTTACAGCAATCTCACTATTTTTTTATTCTGGTAGCAGCCCCGGACTTGTTTATTATATTTGCTTCACATACTGTGTAGTAGTTTGTCCTCACATGAGGATCACATGAAAAGTAGTACACTATCTCAAGTTGTTCTCTCAGCATTTTAGCTTAATCTGCTCGTTTTTTTGTCTGTTATGAAATAGGATTTAATTGTGCAAAATGTTAGGAAAATTTTGCACTATTATGCTCAACAAAATACATTTTTGTATAGATGTGCTCTCATGTGAGGAAAGGTGTTGAGCTGTCTTTGAAGTCATCAGTATAATAGACTATTAATGGTGTTATGTAACTCCTTTAATTTGAATGCATAGTAATCAAGAGTAATCCAGCCTTGGATATGTAAAAAAACACTCCAGAGAAAATGATGTGAAAGTAATCTGAGTTAGTTGTGGGATAAAGAATTCCTCTGTGTTATAAATTGGATTACAGTACTACTCTATGGAACTAGAAGATCCAATTGACCCTCCCTCCTCCAGGTATGGGTTCCCCATGATTTTTGATCCCCACCTTGGGTCTCTCACCTTAGCCCCTGGAGTTTTTCCCCAGCTGGTTCTACTCTGCAGGTCTGGGCCTGGTGATTCTGCCATTGAACTTACGTGCGCTGGGTTTCTTTCAGGTTCTTTCTCCTGATTTGCCTCTCTCCTGGTTTTTGCTCCGAGCGTCGAGCTTTTGAACCTGTGTTATCTTTTTTTTCCCTCTGGCCCTACAGGGCCTCTGCTTTTCTTTTCTTTTTGTCTTTTCTTTCCTTATCTTGTATCTCTTTGTCTTTGCCATCTCGCATATGAGTGCTGGTTTTTATGCAAATGCCCTACGTGCTATTTATTGTCACTTCTACTGCTTTAAGTTGAAATGTGGAATGTTACGGGGGCACGCTTCATCTATTGCCCTGAGATTGGCTGGCCTTGTGCAGAGACGTAGCTCCTGTGTGGCAGCCGGGTCCCTTGGTGATGAGTCTTGTGCTGGTTCTCGCTGCCCTGACGGTGGGGGGGGGGGGGTACGTGGCATGCTTGATCTGCATTTGTATTACATCATTGTTTTTCGCAGGGCCTGTTGTGGGTCCTGCTTTCTTAAAACTGTTATCTCTTCTATGTGTGTTACTATAAGTTTTTGTCTTCACAATTGCTTTATCCTTTGTCATGAATTGGATTACAGGGTTAAAAGACCCCTTTTTGGGAAAGGCTTTTTTTTAACAATTAGCTTGTCATGTGCTCTTATCAAATTATGTATGCAGTTTTAATGTACATGTGTTTTATATGCATTCAAAAAAAACCATCTTGTCATACTTTTTATATGTAGTTAATAGGATTCTCAATTTAAGAGCCAACAAAGGATTGTGCTGTGTTTCCCGATTCAAGAGTTAAGAAAGAATTGTGCTGCCATTAGCCTAATATCTGCTGTCATTTTTCCAGTGCTGTTTATAAAATGAAAGTGCAACCTGATTTGTAAATACAAGCACTTTAAATTCCAGTCTCTGGGCATATCTCAGGATTTACAGTTGAGAACAATGGGTATCCCCATGGGTAACCCAGTATCTCCAAATAGAAAGACTTTGGCATCCACAGACTGTCTGCAGCTGTTCTTCCCACGCACACTGTGTTGTTTTTGTCTAAGCATGTCAGATAATTTTCCACAAAATATAATATTGAAGACCTAAAGTGATTTTCCAAAAAATTTACTGCTGTACAACAAAATATTACATAGATTTTTTCTTCACTTCTTATTTGTCTTCTACCAGGGTAAAATTAATCAGCAGGTTACAGACTTTGCAATAACTGTCTAAAATTGCCCATAAACCTCATAATTCAATAGTACAATGTCTGTGCAGTCTTTGTTAGATTTACCAAACTAATGTAATAAAGAGGGCCTACCTAAACAATCCACCTTCTTTTGAATCCAGACAGACCGTGTTGCTACACAGATGTTGGTCGTCTTACAGAATGTACACAGCCAGTTTGAAAAATGTGTGATCAGATTAAGATTGTTGATTATGCTAATCATGTTTTTTATTTTACCTGCAGGCCATTGTGTTTGTTGTTGGAGGAGGAAACTATATTGAGTATCAGAATTTAGTAGACTATATAAAGGTTGGTATATATCCCATCTTTCCTGCTTCTTTATTGTGTACGTCAGATGTCAGTTTTTCGTCAGTTGGAGAATTCTGTTTAATATCGCAGCGCACTGTTTAGATGTAATCTTTAGGCTGAGGCTCTTACATCATCATCTCCCTTTGTTCCTCAAGGTCATTTACTTACCTATTCCATTGTCAATCTTTTTGCCCAGCTTTCCTGGTTCTTAAAGAAGAACTGTGAAAAACTATTGTACATGCTCATTAGATCACCTTTAAAAAGTCATGTCATTTTTATATTGCCACCTGCCATCTAAAAGCTAAATTTGACTTGAAACAGGACTGCCACCCTGTTAACTGATGGGCTTCGGGAGGAGGTAGATAGGTGGCTTTGCAGAAAAAATAGGGCTTAGAGTAGCTTTCAGCAGTGTGCTGATGTTCTGCAGGAGTCCAAAGGACAGGTAATGAGCCAGCATGGATTCTGCAGGTCTGCACTGCAGCAGTGAGTGGATACTTGGACTATGTGTATTACTATATATAGCTTGTGGTAGATAAAACATTGTCTCCATGCTTCTTTAGCCTGGGTTCACACTATTGTGGTTCAGAACACCACATGTGATTCAGACAGGAATCGCACTGCATTCCTATTCAAATCACATGCAATTCTTTGCAGTGCCATTAATTCTGTATCGCACCTCACCTGAACTAAAAAAAAGGTGCTGGCATCTTTTTTTGTTTTTTTTTTTTTTTTCCTTGCCGCACTAGAATCGGATCGCCTGTGTGTTCACACCCATGCAATCCGATTCTGGCAGTTGCACTGCATTTTGTGAACTGTTTTTGGGGTGTCCTTAATTTAAAATTGACACCCGCAGCAGATCGCAAGGAACGGAACGCAATTTCTATGTGTGTGGGAAATGCACAGAATTCGCAGTGTTTCCCACACCGCATATATGTGAACCAGGGCTTAAACAGTGTGGTTGATTTACGATTTACTAACACTGGAATGTGCAAAATCTGGTGCAGCTCTGCAAAGAAACCAATCAGCTTCCAGGTTTTTTATTGTCAAAGCCTAAATGAACAAGCTGAAGTTAGGAGCTGATTGACTATCATGCACAGCTGCACCAGATTTTGCACTTGGTTTTAATAACTCAACCTCAGTGTGTAATCCCCGGTTCACACCTATGAGGCCATGCGGGGCGCGTTTTGCTTGGGCATGAGAGTCCATTCATTTGAATAGACTCCCGTGACACGCAGGGAAAAAAGTTCATGCACTACTTTGGAAAACGCAGCCCGCACACGGGAACCTCTGTTCCCAGTACGGTTGCGTTTCCCAGTGCGTGCAGCGTGCCATTAGAAGTAATGGCACATGCTTGCAGGTCCGCAATTCTCTGTGCAGGTGGTGCGGCTGCATGGATTTTTGTGCGGATCCGCAGCGGCACCACCTGCACAGATGTGAACCTAGGGTCAAGCTGCATTTGCAGCCCTAGTGCAAATCCATCAATTGTAGATGGGTGCTTAAGATTACACTCATCTCAATATTCTAATTTGCCACCTAAAATCTGCAGTTCCGTTTCACTTTTCTTTTTGCATTTACCTACCCCTTCTCAACCGGTAACCCTTTTGAGGTATTACTGAGTGAGACTACTGTCTGTCTCTTAGGAAACTGTAAACAGGATGAGACTGTTCTCTTAACCTATCTCTCTAACTTTTCATTCCATTCTCTGAACTTGTTTTGTAGTTTTCTTTTCCTACCCTCCACACTTTTGTAGTTTATTTCCCCTGTCCTTACCAGCATCCTTTCTTTCTTTCTTTCCCTGATTTACACTTTCATGCTGTCTCTCATTTACCACCTCCTCTTCAGGCGCACAACTTGATTGACATGCAAAAAATAATCTACCTTATAAAAATAGTTTCGTGGCAGGCAACCAGCTCTGGCTTTTGCTTTCCTTTTGTATCCTGTTACTGGTTGCTAAGGCCTGTCCTTCCTTTTGCTTACTCTGTCATAGATGTTATTTATGTGACCCTTGCCAGTTCCTCAGATCCATTCCTTGGACCATTTTTCATCCTCCTAGCCTGCTACTGGTACATTATTGTTAACTCTTTAGGGATACCAGTGATGGTAGGATATTAAGCATTAGTTATATAGAGTTCAGTTTGGCTGATTGTAAAATGTAGAGCATGTAACTTAACACTGTATGTTGTCTTTTTCTTCTTTTCTTTTTTAGACCAAACAAGGAAAGCACATCCTTTATGGCTGTACAGAGCTTTTTTAATGCTTCACAGTTTGTTAAACAGGTAATGATGAGTGCCTTTCTGCATACAGATGTAATTAAGTAAAGCCTATTAAATTCATTGGTTCATAACTCAGGTCCAAGTTTTCCCCTCGATGTTACTAGACTTAAAGCTGAACTCCAGGAATTCAGCCACTTTCTAAAATGTGCCAGATTGCTACAGATTAAGTCCAACAAGGTGCATGCCACCTGTAGACGTACTGTATATATCTTTAATTTACAATCCACATTTTTTACCGCACGCTGGGAGCATAGTTATCACTACACTTCAGTTGTTGGACCTTCTAATCTCAACTTCTGCAGCTGCAGAGTCTTATGCAGTCGCTCTGTCAGCTCCTCCATTTCTCCTGCCCAATCACAAATTCCTTTGTGTTATGTGAACCCATTCATTAAAGACAAAGCCTTCTGTGAATGGACAGTGGAGGGGAGGGGCAGGCAGAACTGCTGTGTGTGAGAAAGCAGCATCTCTCCTGTCAGAGTGCCCCGAGTATAGCAATAGCTGCACTCCCTGTGCTCAGTAAAACTGTCAGTTGTATGCAAAATAGATAAGTCCACGAAGTAGCATGTACCTCAATGAACTTAAAGTGTTACTAAGCCCACAACAGTAAAATCAGTTTGTATATGCAGTAAACAATGCTTGTTTTACTCACTGTGAAACCTAAGGGTTAATCCTCCGCATTGTGTAAAAAGGCTGTTTGATCCTGACTTTTTTTAATCCTCCCCTTCTTCTACTGTCCCCAATCAATCTACTGATAGTACAGAGCTCTAAGAGTCACTCTGCACATGCTCAGTTTAGAGTTTATGGCTAGAGAGATTTTTTTTTTGAGGGGGAGGGTGCATGGGATCAGCACATGGCCAATCAGCACTGTTCAGACAAAGGGTAGAGGTCCTGCAGCCATAGGACAGTCAGAGCAGAATGAAAACTCCTCCTTCAAGCTTTAACCAGTGCTTGGCCAGACACTGATAGAAGTCACAAAACTGCTATATACTGCTGATCAGAAAAGGTATTTAGCAGATTATAGTTAGTAAAAATAATTGCATTTCCATGTTGTGTGTACTGTGGGATATAGAAAATGCAGGGTCCTGGGTTTTAGTACCACTTTAACCTATAGTAAGCCAACACATTCTAGGAAGTTGTTGAATTCCTGGAGTTCAGCTTTAATAAATTTAAGATAGAAAGACTTATAGTCTGGTGGAAGAACTGAGTTCCCTATAGCAACAGGTGAGACTCCTGCTTTAATTTTGTAAACTGTTAAATAATAGGGCTGATTGCATAACTGTGCAAAAAATACAACTGAAAACATTCAGTAGGGGAAAAAAATATTTTCTTCACCATGTAGTAAAAGTGATGATAATCAATGGGCCCTTAACACCTAAAAAAGTTCAAGAATCTCTCTCTTATTCCCAGTACATCAATCTTCATAGTCCACAACCCGTTGGTAAAAACATGCAGTACAACCCAAAAAAATGCACAGATATGAACCAGCCCTACCTATATTATGAAGCTGTCTCTAATTAAAGGAAAAAAAGGCAGTAAGCAATTTGATATCCCTTTACTGTGGTCTAATCAGTTGATTTCTCATCCATCCCCTAGTGTGCTGCATGGAAGATGAGCTCCATACAAACTGCAGCCATTGAAGGTGTTACCAGGGTAATCTAGCAAAGTACCATAGACTTCATTGGCAGCTAAATGTAGTCTTTGGGCCATTACAGGAGGAAACTCTGCCTTACGTATACAGCCCAAATCAACATTCCCATGCTTGTCTATGAAACTGTTGATATACCTGCAGGAAAATGTACTTTCCTGGTAGCCAGCTAAATCTGTGACGTAGTAGTAGCGTTATTACCATAACAGATCAGTGCCGCTTCAAGCTGCCAGTGCTGACACATACAGAGCACATCTCACGCCAAGATACAATATAGTATACAAGTATCACTGCACACGGTAATCAACTCTAGTGTGAAGTAATTGAAAGACAGGCTTCAGCTCACATTCCTGCCCATTGGTTACACCTAGGGGCACACTGACAACTCATGGGGCCCCCGGGCAAGAGGGGATCATGGGGCCCCTGTGTCCTTGCCCAAACTCAAAAAAGCCTATGAAAAAGGTACCAGGGGCATCTCATGGGGCCCCCTACTGACCCTGGGCCCTCGGGCAGCGCCCGAGTTTCCAAATGGTCAGTCCGCCCCTGGTTACACCCCTCTGAGATGTTTCACCCGCCTATGCTGTATAGTGGTACCATTATCATGCTTGCAATGTCCACCACAATAGCCTGGTTTCATCAACTGAAATAAGACTTTCAAATAAAAAGTCTTAATATAATATCAAGTGCTGATGAGGGTTTACTTTGCCATAGCATTTTTTGTAGGAGACTGGGGTTGACCGCTGAGTTTGTAAAAAGCACTTATCTCATATCACATGCTCCTAATGCCAACTGGAAGCTGTGATAGAATTACCTTGCACTATAATGGCAAATTATAACAACATTCCTCTTTGTGTCCTTGGTCCATTCAACTCCCAGTGCTGCCTGCATTGTCTATACATTTTTTGATAATGGAATTTGTGCTATATTAGAAATGAGCCTAATGTAGCACAAATTCCATTACCAAAAAATGTATAGATAAATTGTCACTGCCTTCATCTCAGCACCAGATTATAAAAGGGGCTAGTAAACGTCAGCTTTTGAAAGTGAGTGAGAATCTGCCATAGTAGAAATGCTGGAGCTGCTTTTGTTAATTTATTTAAGGACCCCAGCTCTGGAGTTATCGTATCTTTGCATCATTGGGTGGTAAGTCACTGGCCTTAGACAGGTATGTAGGTTAAGGGTTTTTAATTCATTCCAAATGACTAACATATTAATTAGTGAATAGAGCATAAGGATGACCCTCTTGGAGCGTGCACCTCCAGGAGGCGCAAGCTCTCATTGTTTCTTCTGGACAGGCTTCCTGTACTGAAATTGGTTATATTTGTGTCATTTTGTGTATTAATTTCATGTGGGAAGAGGTTTCATGGATGTTTTCTGTTTCCTCCTAGTTGTCTCAGCTTGGACAGAAGTAACAGATGACATGGCCTCAGATCATGTTCCGCTCTTATCCAGGTTGTGATCTTACCATGCACGGACTTGAAGGCCCGGCCTATACTTGCACCGTTCCATAAATCCTTCTATCGGCAGAGCCGTGCGCCTGTTTCTGCAAGTCTGCCAGAAAAATTAACGCTACATTTCTGCAGACTCGGAGATAAACGCTGTACTGGCTCCTCTAACTTTATGAAAGGACTCCCATATTTAACATTGCTAGAGGTTTGCCAGCCACAGTAAATTGGCATTAACATTCTCTCTGTACAAAGAGGTTATTTGAAAATAAAAACAAGATATTGTTTAATTTTATAAAGCACATTGTGTGTGTTCAGAGTTCTGCTTTCTGAATAGGACTACAAGAAACAGTGGATTATAATACTGGATACACTGCAAGTTAGGAGTCATCCACATTTAGCCTTGTCCTCAACAGTTCTGTACACACCAAAACCATCCAATGCAGAAATCAATCTGTTTCAGCTTATGAGGCACTTAGAAATAAAGCTTAGGGAAACCATTCAAATGAACGGATTCAATGAGGCAAATGGCAGTAACTAGTAGCATTCATGTTTTATTACTTTAATTTCAGTAGATCTATAGGCAAAATGTTTTTTTTTTTTCCTTTTGGATAGAGTAAGAGAGGGTTATAACCCCTGTCAGGTTATTTTTTGCCATTTGTGCCCCAGATGGGGAGATTTACCTTCACTTCCTGTCCCGTAGCCGAAACAGCAAGTGAGATTATCTCTACAAATCAAGAGAATATTTAGGGGACCCCCAGGTCACCAGAACTAGTGACCCCATTGGAAGATTTCCCCTCTATTACTTTTCTGGGGACAACCCAAAATTTGGGATTTTTTTATTTTCACTTTCAATGATAATGGTAAACAGGACAAATAGAGAGGGTGAATCTCCCTAATGGGGACAAAGCAATAAAAACCTGACTGGTGTTCTAATCCCTCTCCACTCTATCAAAAACTGAACAAAGTGTTGCCTTTAGTTATGCTTTAAGTTTGTTTTAAATTAATTCAGTTATTGAAAAATATATATCGCCTTCTATTGGCTTCATGCTTATGACACATCAGGAGGTGTTGACCAATGAAATTAGCAACACAGTCATGCGTAAATCAGGCTTCCTCTCAGTAAAGCCTCTGCGACAGGTTTACTGTATATTTTACCCCTGCAACTGTAATCCTGTGCAGCCAACTGTGACAGATTTTCAATATTCTGAGAGATTTATCACTGAAGGTGAGAGAAGTGTTTACTGGAAACACACACAATAAAGTTTGTTTACCCAAACATTTGGATAGGAAGGAACCCCTTTCAGAGTTGACTACTATCCAGGGCTCCATTAAAGAGCCTTCCTCACTTACTATACTGCGGACAATCTTTTACCAGACAAAGTGAAAGAAAATATGCAAGGGACAACAATCAAAATCTTCCTGTCTGCTGGTCATCTCTTTCCACACCATCCTGGATTCCCTGAATGCTTTGCAGCTTTTTCTATGCTGTTTACTTTAAATTTTAAGGACTACATATCCCATAGTACCTTGCTGCCTGCAAGTAGCGGTTCTTGTATTAACTCCGCCTTCTGAAATTCCTCCTCTCAGCACCTCTGTAATTCAGACAAGAGGTTCTGTGAAACGTGTGGCACAGCAGTGCCTACTCACACGCCATATTAAATACGTATCAAAGAATTCAAATAATCGTGAGGGTTTCCCAACTACGAGACTGTTCAGATTAATTGGAATAAGCTAAAATTTATTGAAATACAATGAATTTTATGAGTTTACATTTTGACTATAGACACGCTTTAATCTAAACAAAAAATAACATTTTACTTTATTCTGTGTTGCTGTTAGATTTCCTCTCACTTCTTGCTGTGTCTTTTACAAGGCAGAAAGTAAAAGAATCTCTTCAACAACAATAAATTAGACAGGATTTCCAATCCTTCCCACTCTATACATGTATATCTATAGATACACTTTAGGAAATGACCAGGGGCAGGTTTATTCTGGCGCAGTGCTACTTTAGAGCAGCTGAGGAAGGAGTTTATGAATCAAACTGTAGCTTTGTAATAAATCTGTGTCACTGTTTAGCATTGCTTTGCTGTTCAACCGACTTGAAAGATGTCACCTTTTGGTGTGCACAGTAGATGGGCAAAACCTGGGAGAAAGGTTGTGTGCAATATCAAATATGTGATGAGAATTACATGTACCTCCCAAGCTACTGGTTGTGGACCTCTAATCTAAAATATTCTTGGACAGAAATATGATTTTAGTGGAATTATTTTTTATTTTTATTTTATGTTTTTTCTCTTTGAAATAAAAAAATAATTTAAAGAACCAAATGTTTGGTAATCTGTAACTTCTTTTCTTTTCTTGTACTTTGAGTAATACTGGAATGCATATATAGTCAAGTTATATTGCAGCCTACAGGATTGGACAATTGCAAGCGATAATTGTATGCCAGTCCAGGATGACCCTTCCCCTGCCTAGCATGCGTTAGTTTTTTGCTACTGTCCTAGGAGAATTTATGCCTGGATTTTAGCTTCCATTAACTTCAATCAAGATTCTTTACTGCATCACTGCTTGAGCTGGTTTCTAGACGGCAGCTATTTGGATAGGCTGATCAGTCTATGGTGGTTACCTTCACCTACAGGTGACCGTTAGGGAGCTACCTTGCTATCTGCAATTCTGATTGTCCTTCCAGTTTCCCGCTACCTTCGGTTATACTGCTGAAAGGGCTTACACTGAGGCACTGAGTACTGCAGCAATCAGCTGCTTTGAGTGTCATGCACATATGCTTCATGCTGTCTTTCCTGACATTGAGCCTAGAAGTATTATTCCACTGCTGTTCCTGTGTTGCAAGGTACCACAAGAAATTACAATCAATGCTCAATGACATGATCACCTCCAGACTTCTGATCCTCATTAGCCACTACCAGCTTGGGTCCTTTCCTCACACGTTGAACCTAGTTGCATCACCACCATGTGGTTGCAGCATGTCATTACATAGACACAGCGGGGACAGCCCTTGCTGCTATGGGTGACCCCAGCCCATACTGTTCTAACAGTTCCAGGGGCATTTACTCAATCTGAGGGCACTGACATCTGAAATCCATGGTTTAGAGTCACCCTTTACCCTGTCAAATAAGATTAGGTCCCCTACCGTAGTCACAGAAGACTCCATCACAGATACTGAGCTCTAAGGTTCCAGTCTTGTTCCAACACTTTCCCTTTTAGAGTTGATCTCTGTGCTTCCTGTGGCCCACTTACTGATTGCTGTGACCATCTCTGACTCAGTCAGAGTCCCAACAGTCTATCTCCGAAGAAATCAGTTTTTGAGGCACCGCAGTCTCCTACCATTACTTCAGATGCTTCATGCCTTTATTGATGCAGGGCATACTACTGCATTTGTGGGCTCAGCTTGCTGTCTACAGACTTGGGTTTTTCAAAGCTTCTAAATCTTTCCATTGCATCCAATATTCAAGGTATTCCTCTATGCAGACTGAAAGGGCCCTGGGCCCCATCTGACTATTTGTTGTAACTGTTACTGTTCACCTTTGGGAGGAAATTGAAACAGTGGTGAACTGTGGTCTATACCCACTGTGGCTCTACCAGTGACCCACTTTAAAAGGAAACTTTCTAGACCTGTATAGAATATGCTTACCTTATTTTACTGACCAGCAGTTTAGGTCCCTTCTTAAAATCCCAATTCTCTCTGTCAGATTCTGCCCTCTATTCTGTATTGGCTCATAAGAAATATTTAGACTTCCGGGGTAGACCATTTTGTAATAGAGTGGGTGGAAGTTCCTTCCTTTATCTACTTTTGCAGCAAATCCTCCCAGACCCATATAGCATGACTAAGACAGCCCATAATGCTAAAAGTCAGAAACCAGTTAAGCCTGCTGACAAATCTTCTGCATGAAGGTGTGCCCCCACTTCAAGTAGGGGCTGATTGAGATTCCTTGGGTAGTTTGCCCATCAGGCATTTGGGTGCAGAGAGTGGCCCTTTAGGCTCACAGGCTAATCCGCCTGCCTCTGCCACTTTCTTCAGCTGCCCCCACCTTGCTTCCCTGTGCTTCTGCACAGATAAATGCACCGTTTCTGGTCCTCCTGGGTTCCTCTCATTCATGGATCCCCTGCTTTTGTTCCAGTGTTACCTCAGCTTCTGGAGCTGTGCCTCATCTGGGCCACTACTCTCTTATTTAGAAAAACTCCCCTCCAGTGATACCTAGTACCCCTCAGCATCCCCCTTTTTCAGAGGGACTCCCTGACATACTAGGTCAGTTGGACCCAGCCTTGACTGTCCCTCACCCAAATAGAGATCTAAATGCCCAGTGACTCCCATGCATGCCTGATACTTCTCAGAGTATTTACTCCTCTGTTTGGTCTAGCTCATCTCCCCAAAGGGCTTAACACCTCTAAGATCAAGCCATTTCTGGCTTCAGGTTTCAGGGAGATGGAAACTGTCACCTGTAGTTGAAGGTAACCACCATAGTTGCTTGCCACATAGGTCCACAGATTGTTTACCTTTAGGCACTTCCTCATCAGGCAGGAAATCATTCCTTTCTCCTCCCCTGCAGGATAATTTGGTTTTAGGGGACCCCCTCTAAAGGCCATCTCTCTCTTTCTGTCTTCTCAGCCACTTTCGCCTCTAAGGTAGGTCTAGTTCTTGGGCAGTCTAACAAATCTGCCTGTATAGACCAAGTAGTTCTGGTGTGACTACTGTGCTTCTCCATTAGATGGCTGGTTAGGAATCTTCTCCCCCTGTCAGGGGTTTCCCTCAATGAAAATCATCTGGGGCTGCTTTCTCATCCTCCAAAAAAGTGGATCCCTCTACTTCATGGGATCATCTCTTGTGCAGATCCCCTGTTTTAGACCCTGTTGGACACTATCAAGGTGCTGCTGAAAATAGGAATCCTTCCTGTATCTGATATCTGCTGTGGACAGTAGTCTGTCTCTCACACTGTTCCAATAAGGAC